AGGCGGGAACCACACTGCGAAAGCGAACCGTGCACAATCTGTTTCGTCCGCCTTTCTTCTTCTTGTTCCCAACCAACCTGTGTTGTTGGGTCCTCGTTTTGAAGAGACGGTCCCCGCGTCTTCTCCTCCTCCTCCTCCCTCCTCCCCTCCGCTCATCATCATCATCATCATCATCATCATCATCATCATCATCATCAGCATCATCATCATTATTATTATTATTGTTATTATTATTATTGTTATTATTATTATCGTTATTATTATTATTATTATTATTATTATTATTATTATTATTATTATGATTATTATCATCATCATCATCATCATCATCATCGTCGTCATCATCATCATCATCGTCATGATCATCATCATCAACATCAGCACCATCACCCCCCAGTACACCGTTTCGTGGCCCCACGGAGAGCGCCACCGAAGGTCCCCGTGGCGCAGTCCGCATGCGTCTTCCCCACCCAGTACAGCGTGTCGTGGCCCCATAGGGGCTCCACCGAAGGTTCCCCGTGGCGCAGTCCGCATGCGTCTCCCTCACCCAGTACAGCGTGTCGTGGCCCCATATGGAGCTCCACCGAAGGTCCCCGTGGCGCAGTCCGCATGCGTCTCCCCCACCCAGTACAGCGTGTCGTGGCCACATAAGGGGCTCCACCGAAGGTCCCCGTGGCGCAGTCCGCATGCGTGTCCCTCACCCAGTACAGCGTGTCGTGGCCCCATAGGGGAGCGCCACCGAAGGTCCCCGTGGCGCAGTCCGCATGCGTCTGCGTCTCCCCCACCCAGTACAGCGTGTCGTGGCCCCATAAGGGGCTCCACCGAAGGTCCCCGTGGCGCAGTGCGCCTCCCCCACCCAGTACAGCGTGTCCGCATGCGTCTCCCTCACCCAGTACAGGTGGCCCCATAGGGAGCGCCACCGAAGGTCCCCGTGGCGCAGTCCGCATGCGTCTGCGTCTCCCCCACCCAGTGCAGCGCTTCGTGGTCCCATAAGGGGCTCCACCGAAGGTCCCCGTGGCGCAGTCCGCATGCGTGTACCTCACCCAGTACAGCGTTTTGCGGCCCTGCGGGGAGCGCCACCGAAGGTCCCCGTGGCGCAGTCCGCATGCGTCTCCCTCACCCAGTACAGCGTGTCGTGGCCCCATATGGAGGTCCACCGAAGGCCCCCGTGGCGCAGTCCGCATGCGGTTCCCCCACCCAGTACAGCGTGTCGTGGCCCCATAGGGAGCTCCACCGAAGGTCCCCGTGGCGCAGTCCGCATGCGTCTCCACCACCCAGTACACCTCCGCCGGAGGCCGTCGGAATTCCGCGCCTCGCTCGCCCGTCGTCGCTCTGCCCAGCGGCAAGAGCCTTGCCCGCTATCAGCCAGCCAGCTAGCTCTCTTTGCTCTGCGCAGCGGACGACCCGCGCGCGTCGCTGGGACCCCTCCGGGGCGACCTGCGCGCGTCGCGGGGACTCCGCGCTGCGCTGCGCCCGCAGCCTTGGACTTTTGAGTGCGCGGGCAAAGAGGGAGTAAAATGATAGGAGGAAGCGGGCGCGAACCTCGCGGGGGGGCGCGCCGACATTGGCGTCGCGGCGCGCAGGCGATGCCGTCGGGGAATCCCGGGGGAGCTCCTTGCGGCGGCCACGCCCAGCGTCACGAGTACTCAGAGGCGGTCGTTCTCAAACTATTGACGTTCATATACAAGTACACCATGCTTTGGCATACTCGCATTAATGCACGTAGACTCGCTCGCACGCACATTCATTCACAGTCAGACGCACCCGCGCTCATATTCGCCCTCGCTCAGTCTCCCTACATAGTCAGATCAATCGGTTTCGTTCGCGTTGTGCACCACGCCATTCATGTCGGCACACCCCTAGCACGGTTCGGTGCCTCATAGGGACCACCACCGAACAAATGCACCACAATTGCGGTACTCACACCTGCATATGGTTGGGTCCTTCACCAGGCTAATGTTACCTGCTTCTTCCGACTGGCGAGTACTCCATTTCTGAACCTGTTTTCAAGTTTCAGAGCCATGAGTGGTAAGGAATGATCCTGCGAAGCGCCCGGTCCGCCCTAAGGACACGCCTGGGGGTGCGACTCGCGACGGGGAGGAATTAGCTACCAGGAGAAGGGATGGAGGATGAGGAAGGGGATGTGGGGATGGAGAAGGGGGGATGCGGAAGGGGAGGGATGGGAGGAATTGGAAGAAGAAGAGGGGGAGAGGAAGGGGGAGGGGGCGGGGGAAGAGAAGAGCAGCGGAGGGAGGAGCAAGGAAGAGGAGGAGGAGGAGGAGGAGCAGGAGCAGGAGCAGGAGCAGGAGCAGGAGGAGGAGGAGGAGGGGGGGGATAAGGGGGCGGGAGGGAGACTGGGAGGCAGCCGTCCTAGTTCCCTGTCGTCTTTCGTCCTTTCCTTTTCCGAAGGAATCTTCACAGCACCGCCAGGCGTGTCGGTAGGACGGCCCTTCGTTTCGCTTGAAGTGCCCTCACCACATCTTCGTGACCCTTGCGCATCACACCGCCCATAGTTACTCGCATAGAGGGCGGGTCGTTTTCACAATGTGGTGTTCGCTTTAGCGCCGCGTGCATTCGTTTCAAGCTCCTCCCAGGAGGTCGCAAGGATATCGGGGGTCGTTTTCAAAATGTGGCCCTCGCTTGTAACTTCGGGAATCTCTACCGGCCAAAGTGTCACATTGTCGCATGGTGCAGCAGCTACAAGGACGGATATGGTTTTCTGCAAGACCCCCCCTGAGATTTCTTCAGCATGTGCGAGCCGGAGCGTAGACCTGCGCAACAGATGCCGATTCATGGCGGCAGATCCTCCTCGGCCTGTGGCTATCCCCCGACGCTTCCTCAGGGTTTACGACAGGGCATGTAAGATTGGTGCTACGGCCACACGGATGGACGACGGCCCCTTCTCAAAACGGAGCTCGCGTGATATTTCTTTCAGCTCCGTGATCCGAAGGCTGCGGAAGGTCATGTAGAGCAGACGCGGGGGGGAAAAAACAAAAAAAAAATCTTTCAGCTTGCTGGCCCTGTCGCATTCCTCGGGGCAGTTGTCCTTCCCAAAGGGGGGGCCCCCGCCCGAGTGGCCTCGCCCGTGGGGGGAGTGCTCGTGCTTCAGAGGGGGGCGGCAGCCCGCAGTGAGAGAGGAGGCCCGCAGGCCTGCAGGGACTTGCGAGAGGAACTGGGACGGGAAGGGAGTTGGAACGAGAGGCTGCACTAATTCCAGCATCTTTGTTCCTCCTCCTCCTCATCATCATCACCGTTGCTCTCCCCCCTCCTCCTCCCCCTTATCCCATGTCCTCATAAGTAACTCCTCCCCGTTGTGCCACCAGGCGTGCCCACAGGGCGGGCGGGGCGTTTCACCTTCTCAGCATCGTCATGGCTCGTCGCCCCCCTCCTCCCCCATCCCTTGTCCTTCATAACCCCTCCCCGTCGGGCCACTAGACGTGCCCATGGGGCGCTCGGGCTCGTTCCGCCCGAGACGCCCCCGCCACTCACGATCCCGAAGCTTCACGGGTGGAGGGCGGGAGATGCCGCACGCACTCGTGTTACAGCATGGCAGCGGCTATCGGGATGGAGGACAGACCTTGTTCGAGATGTGGCTCTCGTCGCGGCGCCGCGCACACTCGCTGCAACAGCTTCACGGATGGAGGGTGGGTGGTCTTCAAAGAGTGTGGACCTCGCCGTAGTGCCGCGCCCATTCGTTTTCAACATTTGCACCGTTTTCACAGATGGATTGCGGGTGGCTTTCAACATGTTGTTTTCGCCATAGCACCGCGCCCATTCTTTCTGCAAGGTTGCAACAGTTTCAAGGATGGATGGCTGCTCCTTTTCAAAATGTGGCTCTCGCCCTAGCGCCGCGCACACGCGTCTCAGAAGTTAACAGTCGTTTCAAGGTTTCGTATGGTCGGAGTCCCAGGAATGGCGTTCTGGCAAGAATTCGGATCGTGGAAAGGTGTTTTCGAACAATTGAGGATTCTCAGCGTTTGTCTTCGAATGGGCCACGTCCCGCAGTGAACATGTTTTTGGGTATATATGACGGGGTAGCTTGGAGGGAGAGTGTATTGAAACATCGTCGACGCGTCCTGGGTTTGCACTGGTCCTCTTCCTCCTCCTCCTCCTCCTCCTCCTCCTCCTCCTCCCCGCCGACTCGTGCGGAACCCAGTTGCCCTATGAGGTACCAGGCCCGACAGGCGAGTCTCTCCTCCTCCTCCTCCTCCTCCTCCTCCTCCTCCTCCTCCTCCTCCTCTCCTCTCCTCCTCCCCCTCCTCCCCTCCTCCTCCTCCTCCTCCTCCTCCTCCCTCCTCCTCCTCCTCCTCCTCCTCCTCTCCTCCTCCTCCTCCTCCTCCCCCTCCCCCTCCTCCTCCTCCTCCTCCTCCCCCTCCTCCTCCGCTCCCCTCTCCCTTCTCTATCCCCTCCTCCGCATAGCCGTGTTGGCTCGGGCCCCGAAGGTTAGCAGCCAGCCTTGCGCCCGCCCCTCCCCCTCCCTCACCATGCGCGCGATGGCCGCGGCGGCGACGGCGCCCGCCGCGCGGGGGCCCGGGCGGGCGGCCACGGCCGCCCGGAGCGCGGCGACGCCGAGCAGACGCAGAGGGCACGCCGCGCTCACGCGCGCGGCCGCGCCGACGGGGGAGTGGCGGGCGGGCGGCGGCCTGCAGGCAGGCCTCTTGGCGGCTCGAGAAAGCATCGGGGCGGCCAGCTTCTCCCCGCGACTGTTCTTGGGCCTTTGGAGAGCGGTCTCGGGCCCCAGGGCCGTCCACGGAAGCGACTCGGGGTGAGAAGCGCCGGCCCCGAGGCGGCGTCGAAAAAAGTCGAGCCGCCAGGCGTCTGGGCAGGCGGGCCCCGGGGCACTGGCGCCCGCGACCGCCGCGGCGCTCGCGGCGTCCCTCGCGCGGCGCCCGACGCAGCGGCGGCGCCGCGGTCGTTGCCGCGGGCGCAGTGCGCTCGGCGACACAGCCGGGTCGGCGACGCAGCCGCTGCTGGAGTGGCTCGCGGGGCGCGGGGCCGAGGGTGTCGGCAGCGTGCGCATCGGAGCGAGCGGCCTGGCGCGCGACTCGGGCAGCGGCGTGTTTGCGGGGCGGGGCCTGCGCGAGGGCGAGTGCGTGGCCGCCGTGCCCCTCGGCGCTTGCCTGTGCGCGGGGCAGGGCGTCGACCTTGCCGCCCGCCTGCTCCGCGAGCAGGCCCTGGGTGGCGACTCCGCCTTCGCGCCCTACGTGCGCCAGCTGCCCCAGGCGGAGCAGCTGGCGAGCCACCCGCTGCTGTGGCCCGCCGGCGCCGCGGCCGCGTCGCTGCTGGCCCCGTGCCCGCAGGCGAGCCGGATGGTGAGGCACTGCCGGATGCGCGCGTCCCAGGAGGCGGCGGCCCTGGTGCAGGCCGGCGCCGCGGAGACGGAGGAAGGCGCCCGCTGGGCCCTCGCCATCGTCGAGTCGCGGTCCATCACGCTCGGGGACGGCAGCCCAGAGAGGCCGCTGGCCCTAGCGCTCTGCCCCCTGCTGGACCTGCTGAACCATCAGGTCCCGCGACAGGGGCAGCCGCCATCCTGCACCGTGCGAGAGAACCGCGAGACCGGCGCAGTGGAGCTCGTCGCCAGCGGCGCCACCAGCGAGGGCAGCGAGCTGTGGCTGGAGTACGAGCGGTGCTCCACCGCGCAGATTTTCGCGCGCTACGGCTTCGTCCAGCGGTACCCCGAGGGCGACGCCGCGGGCCCAAGCTGCCTGCTGCCAGTGCCGGTCGGAGATCCTCGGCTGCCGGGGGGGGCGGAGGCCGCGGCTGAGCGGCTGCGCCTGCTCCGGGCGGACGGGTGGAGGCGCAGCGCGTGGCGCCCGCTGCTGCTGAAGATGCCGGACCACGCGAGGAGCACAGGGAGCCTCATGCCCGTGGCCCGCCTCTGCGCGCTGCCCTCCGCCACAGCCCGGCGGCGCGCACACGGGGGCGTGTGCGGCGCGGGGGGCTCGTCGGGAGGGAGGCCTCGGGAGGGACACAGGGGGCAGCAGTGACGTGCGCGTCGTCTTGCAAGCTGCGCGTGCTGCCCACCTGCATCTGGTTCAATCGAAACCTAGGGCTTCCGCGGCAGTGGCACGCTGACGCAGTAGCCCGACTGGCTCGACACCGACAGTTATCGTGCTTGGTCTCCAGGGACCTCCACAGGATGGAAGAAGAACGTAGCTCAGAAGCATCGAATGTTTGGAGTCCCCCGCGGATTTCTCGGATCGGCGCTGGACTCTCCAGCGGCGCCCTCGGTGCCGCCCCTGGCACGCGGAGCGCGCCAGGGAGGCGGGCCAGCGCCGATCCCTGAAGTCCGCCCGGACGTCCGAATTCGGGAGGGCTTCCAATGAAGCCCTCCCGCTTTCCCACCGTCCCTCTCAGAAGCCTCCGAGCGCTTCTAGGAGCCCGTCGCCTCTCGCGGCATCCCACCGTCCCTCTCAGAAGCCTCCGAGCGCTTCTAAGAGCCCGTCGCCTCTCGCAGCAGGCAGCCATTCCGCGAGGCGCGCGTGCGGGGCCGCAGCTTCCATGCCATGGCGCATCACGAGGTGCCCCCCACGTCCGTCGAGGTCGGCCTCGCCTCCGCGGACCGCTCGGGCGGCGCAGCCGTGTGGCACCCGGTCCGGACACCGAGCACAGGCACCGGGTCATCCGCCGGTCGCCTGGCCAGCTGCGCCAGCAAGACCGTCTGTCTTCTGGCGGGGCCTTCGCGGGGCTTCTCCTCGGAAGCGATCTCGAGCACAGCAGCGTTGGCCACTCGACTGACGTCGGCCAGCGGTACACGGCAAGTCCTGCACGCAGGCAGCGGTTCTGAAATCCATCGAGCCTCCGCCGCTGCTTTGGCCAAGCACGCGGCAGATAGTGAGTATGCCAGCTTGGAGACAAGCAAGCGTTGCATGTGCGAAGCTTCTGCTTCCTGCTGAGCCTGGAATGTCACCAGATGGAATACAGTGTCTTGAAACCGCTCGCGGCTGTCCCGGCGGCCGAGTTCAGTCCCGACCCTGCCGTCGGCAGACAGAAATGCACCAGGATAACCGATTGCTTGTTTTCGAATGGCACCCCCCGTTGTTCAGAAAGTCGGCTACGGATCTGACGCTTGTGAGCTGCAATTTCTTCCAGTTGACCTGCAATCCATAGTGTTCTCCGCATTGTTCTACGCTGTGCATCAAAACCTGAATACATGCCAGGTCACTGTCGATGCGGAGAGTGTCATCGGCGTAGACGAGCTCCCTCGCAGATCGTTCAGCAGGGGCGTCGCCGAGCTTCTCGCGCAGCACAGTGTCAGCGTCTGTCAGCAGCGTGGTCATTTCAATTGAATACGAAGGGCGACAGCGGGCATCCTTGACAGATACCGTAATGCTGCCAGTGCTCCGAGGATGTCTGCCCAAAGTCTGCCACTACAAATGACCGGTTCTCGTTGTGGACCCAAACTTGCGCGTACATCTGCCTGGGCAGCCGAATCTGAGAAGCGACGCACGGAGAAACATAATCGAACGCCTTCGCCCAGTAGAGCGCGAAGGAATCGAATTGTCCTCCTCTTGTAGACCACACGTCTTCCAAGATGCGGCGGGCAACGAAGATCGCGTCGGCGGTCCCTCGCCGCGTTCTGAACCTGAATTGCCTTCTCCAGATACGATCTTCGGCAGCCGCATTCTTCAGTCTTTGCAGGAGGATGTGGGCCGATAATTGTCGCACGACGCTGGGTTCCCCTTTTGTATATCATCCGTATTTTAGATTCGTGCCAAGCCTTCGGAACTCTCTCTCGGGACCACACCAGGTTGCAGAAGCAAGCAATCCACCCCATCGTGGGCATGCCATCCTCGGTTTCCTTCTCCCGGGCAGGAGTGCTTACGTATCCCTGATGGTCCGCTACCGAAAATTTCCGGTAGCGCTCCGCAGAGATCGGTCGCTACCGAAATACCGAAATGTAGCGCCCAATACCGGTATCAGAGCGTTCTGAAATCCGCTATTTCAACGCCCTCAAACGAAGATCCGGTCGCTACCGAAATTCGGGGTGCGTCGAAATCGCTACCGAAAATTTCCGGTACCAGACCATCTGGGGTGGATCGGTGCCTTCTTCGGTTTCGAGTCCTCCTTGGCCCTCCCAAGAGCTTCCCAGTGGGGTCTCGGCTCTCCCGGAGAGGACCGGGCCAATCACGAAGTACAGTGGCGACCCATGCCAAGAAACACCCTGGAGGAGGAGGAGGAGGAGGAGGAGGAGGAGGAGGAGGAGGAGGTGGAGGAGGAGGTGGAGGAGGGAGGGGAGGAGGAGGAGGAGGAGGGTCCCCTGGGTTTCCAGGGCCTCGATGGCATTGCAGCGGAAAGCGCGACGCTCCCACACCAACAGCGACTGGACGTCCTGTGGTCTCGGGCTCGGGTGCTTCTTGCGGCAGGTCCCTCGTGGAAGGGCCCCTGCGCTGTACCCCAAAGGACCCCCAGGGGCCGGCCCGGATGGCTTCCAAAAGCTGCCCCCCCCCCGCCCCCCCTCGGCCCCGCACCCGTTCGGCGCGCCGCCCAGCAGCCGTGCGCCGCTTCGGCCCCGAGCTGCTGCACGGCGCGCGCTTCGGCGCCCGCGGCCTCGAGGCGGGCGCGGCGGAGCTGGCGCGCGCGTTCCTGTCGGAGGCGCAGACGAGCGTGGAGGGCGCGATCGAGCAGGCCGAGGCCGTCGGCAACGGAAGCCCGGAGCCAGCACCAGCTCCCGGGTGCCCGCGCGGGCCGCTCGGGTTGGCGCTGGGCCCCCTCCCCCCGGGCGTTGAGTCGGGCGTGTGCCTCTGCGGGAGGAGCCACCGAAAATAGCCAAACGGCTGTTTTCGGGCTGTTTTTGACAGCGTTCGAACACGTTTCGACTAGTTTTGTCTAGCTTTCGTCCAAGGAGTCCGCCTGTAGGAGGACCCCATAGGGTCGTGGCGCTGGAACCTCCCCCGTGGCGGCGCCGCCCGCCGCCTGGCGCACCCTGACCTTCCAGAGAGCTATTTTTTAGCACGGGAGCCCTAAAAACTTAGAAAGCGAAACGAAACAGCCTTAAACGAAGACATCGAATAGCTCTGGGATAGGTTTTTAGGTCGCGTGCTATTTTTTAGCCCTCCTGGAAGGTCAGGGCAGTCTCCGCGCGCGGGGTGGGGGGGGGGGGGCCTCCGGCGCCGGGCCCGAGGAGCCCGCGCGGGCCTCCGAGGAGCTCTACGCTTAGTGAAGTCGGGCCCGTCCCTCTACAGGAGGAATGTCCAAACAATCGTCAAAAAATAGGTCGGGGATTCTTGTTCCACTCTTTCTGGCTACAGTCGGGGCGTTGACCTAAGGAACCCTAAATAAGGAACGAGGCCCCCAGTTAAGTCGGGCCTGTCCCTCTACAGGAGGAATGGTCCAAACAATCGTCAAAAAATACAGTCGGGGCGCTGAGGAAGGAACCCTTTTCGTTGGGGAGGGGCTCGGTGTTCCTGAGTTGTTTTGCAGTTCGCCTTTGGTTTTGCTTGGGGTTTCGATGGGACATCGAAGTTTAACTTGTGGGACACATGGGCCTCGTTCCTTATTTAGGGTTCCTTAGGTCAACGCCCCGACTGTAGGTCGGGGATTCTTATGCCACTCTTTTTGGCTACGTTCGATCGTGTTTGTGTTCTGTGCGCTGTTCTCCCCAAGTCCGCCTGCAGGAGGGCGTGCCCGACCCGAGCCTGCGCGCGCTCGTGCGCACTTTTCTTCTTTCTGGCCCGCTGCCCTTCTGCCCCTCTCTCTTCCAGGCGGGCGGCGCCGCGGCAGGGCACCCGTGCAGCTCGGCGCGGGCCCTGCTCGGGGCGGAGCTGGGGGTGCTGCGGCGGTCGCGCGACATCCTGGAGGCCGCGCTGGCGCTCTGACGGCCGGCGGCCGGAGAGGGCGGGCCGGAGGGGGCGCGCGCCCACAAATATGGGAGGCCGCGCGCGGGGCGCCGTCGAGAGGGCCGGGGCCGCGTTCTCTGGCTGCCTGCTCTCCTGCTTGCCCCCTCCCTGCAAGCAGTGGCGAAGCGTCCTGGCTCGCCTAATAGCCCCACCAAGCAATGTTCTGAGAACCCTCTTGTGGTTTCCACGAAGTAATCTTAGAACATTTCTGGCGGAGTCTGTCTTGTTTTAGCACATCGGGCTTATATTCTCAGAACATGGTTTTTGTTCTTAGAACTTGTTTGGGGTTCTAAGAACATGTCGTGGAATGACTATAGGAATGCCGGGACGGTCTGTCCCTGCTCAATCCCTGCTCCTCCCTGCGCCTTTCTCTTCGGTGGCCTCGGGTCTCCTCGCGAATCTGTCTTCGGCGTCAGTTCGCGTCGATCCGCACGCGTCTGGGAGTCGACGGGGTAGCGCCGATTGAGCGTCGGCTAGCGTCGATCAGCGTCGATTTAGCGTCGAGTAGCGTCGATTCGCAAGAGTCGGCAAGATGGTGTGGGAGGCTCCCATGAGTTGCCACCGAACTGTCTCCGCACGGCCCAGTCGACCCCGGGTCGAGGTTCCAGGTTTTCGGGCGAAGAGGACTATGCACATGCACCGCTCTTGGCCAGGCCTATCTTGGCCCCAGGATCGGTGCATCTGCCTTCCTGGCCAAGGCAGGAGGGCGTATGCACCAATCCTGGGCCCAGGCTGGGCCTGGTCAGACTCGGTGCACGCAGATAGTTCTCTTTTCTTTAGGTTTTAGAGCGTCTTCATCGGATCTCGAAGGTTTTCCAGCCTCGGGGCGGTCTCCAGCAGCCGCGCCTCGCCCAGGGCCTTCCGCGGGGGCCCGGATCCTCCCGAACGGCCGCGAGAGTCCCGAGCTGCAGCCCGAAACACAACCAGGAACGGTTGGTGCTCATGGTGATTTGAGTTCAGTCGGGCATGTCCCTCTACAGGGGGAATGTTGAAAAGTAACTAAGAAAATAGTCTGGGGACCCAGGAACCGCCAATCAACGGCCCAGGATAAGAATCCGGCCCAGCCCGGAGGAAATAGGGGGGAGGAGGAGGAGGAGGAGGAGGAGGAGGAGGAGGAGGAGGAGGAGGAGGAGGAGGAGGAGGAGGAGGAGGATAGAGGAGTACATTGGCGAAAAGAGGCAGCAGGAGGGGGGAGAAGGAGCAGAAGGTCCCTCTCGGCCACGGCGACGATCGTCGTCCTCGTCCGTCGTCGATCGTGAAAGCGGAAAGGGGACCTGTCCGTCGTCTGGATTTCTTTAGAGACGGCGTCTCCAGAAGTCACGACGTTCCCAGGGCCCAGCGAGGCCCCCTTCATGGGAGTGAAAATCGGCGGAAAACAGCCGTCTTGATCTCTCAGCAGCGCTTGGACTTAGGGGTTGCCATGTGGTTTACAAATGAGTTGGATGGGGGTGTCGGGGGTTCGGCAGGTGCCTGGTTGGTGCCGTCTCGTTGCTGCCTCGTGCGCTGGGTGGGTGTGTGGAGGTTTCGGCTGGTGCCTGGTTGGTGCCACCTCGTTGCCGCCGCGGTGCTTGCATCTCTCGCCACATAGCTTGCACCACACAGCTTGCACATTTGTTGGTCCGCAGCGAAGGCGACCGCCAACGCGGTCGAAAGCTGGCACATAGCCAACACTTCTGACAAACGTATTCTTTCAAGGCATTGGATGCTTGGGGAGGAGGCTCTGTCCAGGACTCCCTGGGGCTTGCAGTCAGAAGGGAAACTTGCTCCGGACCCCTGGACCGCAGCTTGAGCCGTGCACGGTCCCGCCCTCGGCTGGCCCCTGCGAGTTCCGAGCATCTTCTTTGGGTGGAGGACACACGGTGAAATCTGACACGCCGTTTCGATGGGTTTTCGAGGCTTGAATCTGCAAAGGGTGAATCACAAACGGATCGGCTCTGGAGGGGCAAAAGCCCATCTGGAGCCCTCCACCCCTCAGTGGGCCCCGGAAACGGCATGGCCGTTTTTTCACCGTTTCCGAAAAAGTGTCCCTTGAAAATGGAAACGGCAAAAAAACGGCGGCCGGAGACAGCAACAAAAACGGCTCCAGGATTGGAACCGGAACGGGAACCCGTAAAAGAACGGCGACGGAACCAGTGAAAAAACGGCGTCGGAACTGGCAAAAAAACGGCCAAACGGAACCAGTACAAAAACGGCCCTGTCGCTTCCAGGGCCCACTAAACCCCTTACAGCTTATGTACGCATCGTTGATTTCTGATTCTTCGAAGGTTCCTTGATTTTTCTGGGGGGGGGGGGGCAAGATCCTTTCCTTCCCCTGATGGTCCGCTACCGAAAATTTCCGGTAGCGCTCCGCAGAGATCGGTCGCTACCGAAATACCGAAATGTAGCGCCCAATACCGGTATCAGAGCGTTCTGAAATCCGCTATTTCAACGCACGAAGATCCGGTCGCTACCGAAATTCGGGGTGCGTCGAAATCGCTACCGAAAATTTCCGGTACCAGACCATCTGGGTCCTAATTGCCCTATCCTGGGCCTCTTCCAGGGCCCACTATAAGGGAGCTGCCCAGGAGCTGCCCTGGCCCCAGCAGGGCAGCGCCGCCGCCCCCCCTCGCCTCCCCGGGGGGGCGCCCTCGAGGGCCCTTATAAGAGCCCTCCGAGCGCGGCGCGAGCGCGGGCTCTCCGAGGCCCGCCGGCCCCCCCGGGCAGCTTCTCCGGAGCCCTGTCGGCTACACGCCAGAATTGAAGAGGCCCTGAGACACACAAATAAATACACACAAATAAAAGGAATCCCCGTATTTGCCAACATTCTCGGGTTTTTTGTCTTCCCCCCCACTTCCCATAGTTCTCCACATTTTCCGGGGAATCGACGATTCCTTGTGCATGTGTGGTTTTGCCCCTCCTGAAGAAGGACCGCGCGGACGTCGTGGGTCCGGCGCCTGGCCCCCCCCCAGATGGTCTGGTACCGGAAACTTTCGGTAGCGATTTTGACGCGCCCCGAATTTCGGTAGCGACCGGATCTTCGCTGGAGGGCGTTGAAGTAGCGGATTTCAGAACGCTCTGATACCGGTATTGGGCGCTATACATTTCGGTATTTCGGCAGCGACCGATCTCTGCGGAGCGCTACCGGAAATTTTCGGTAGCGGACCATCGGGGGGCAACCCGCGCGGACCTCCGAGGAACTCTACTCTACTCGGGGGAGGAAAGGTGGCATAAACACGAAAACTCGGGTGTCCGCGCGGGTTTCTCGGATCGGCGCTGAGGCCCCCTGGCGGCGCCTCCGGCCCCGCCCCCGGCGCGCTCCGCGCGCCAGGGAGGGGGGGTCCCGCGCGGATCCAAGAGATCCGCGCGGACCTCCGAGTTTTTATGTTTATGCCATGTTTCGTTCCCCCGATCACGCAGCACCCCCCGCAGTTGCGGAGAAGGGTGATGGGGGCGGCGAGGACGTCGTCGGTCTGCGAGGCTCCGAAGAAGCCCGCCGCATGGTGTGCGTGCGGCTGGTTGCTCCTCCTGGAGGGGCGGCGGGAGGGCCACCCCCACGACGTTGAGAGCAGCAGCCGTTTTTGGGGGCTCGGGCGGGGCTCTGGCCTCTCAGCGGCCCTCGTGGTCGGAGGGGGGTCCCACAGCACGGGCCAGGACACCTCCCAGATCTCGTGGCCCCGCTGTCCTCCTCCTCCTCCTGCTGTCCTCCTCCTCCTCCTCCTCCTCCTCCTCCTCCTCCTCCTCCTCCTCCTCCGCCTCCTCCTCCTCCTCCTCCTCCTCCTGTCCTCCTCCTCCTCCCTCCTCCTCCTCCTCTCCTCCTCCTCCTCCTCCTCCTCCTCCTCCCTCCTCCTCCTCCTCCTCCTCCTCCTGTCCTCCTCTCGACACATCCCTCGGCCGCCACCCGTCCGCGCACACGCCTCGGGCCGTGCTGCGCATTCCCCCCCCCGCTCTGCCGGGCCCCCACCTGCTGCGCCCCTCCCGTGTCGGCCTCTTCGAGCTCCCCGCCCGTGGGCGCCGGCGGGGATGTCGGCCGATCCGTGCGCCCTCCTCGGGATGCGGCTTCGCCGCAGCGGCGTCGGAGGGGGCGCGCCGGCTTTTCGGCCGGGTCGTAGTCCCGGCAGAGGGGGCGGGAGAGCCCCTGGCTGCCCGCTGCTGTTGTCCCGATGGTCGCCGCGGTCGAGGCTCTGTTCCCGTGCGAGCAGGCGCGCCGCCGTGCGCAGAAGGCCCGCCCAGGGTTCGCGCAGGGCCTGCAGAGAAAGCCGGTACTGCTTGCACAGGCAGCGCAGCTCTAGGCCTCCCAGCTGGGGTCCGAGAAGATGGGGTCGGGGGATCGCGCCGCATCGCCGATGCATCGGCGAGGCATCGCCGATGCGGCTCCACTGGGGCCCACGTTTCTCCACGCCGACGTCGCCGATGCATCGCCGACGTCGTCAGTGCATCGCGGAAGCATCGCCGCTGCATCGCCAGTGTATCGGCGACGCGGCCAGATCCTCCGACCCCATCCGCTCGGACCCCATCTACCCTGACCTTCCAGGAGGGCTAAAAAATAGCACCCGACCTAAAAGCCTATCCCAGGGCTATTCTACGTCTTGGCTTTGGGCTGTTTCGGTCAGCTTTTTAGCTTTTCAGGTCTCCAGTGCTAGAAAATAGCCCTCTGGAAGGTCAGGGTAGGAGGCCCCTGGTAGTCTCAGCGTGGGTCCCCTCCCCGTGCCGAGCGGCGTGGCGGCACTGAACTTCAGCTGAGGGGGCCAGGGTGGGCCCCTGGCGGCCCCGGCCAGCGCCGGGTGGTCTTGGCATCCTGTCAGGAGGAAAAAAAAGCACACAGACACGATGAATCCTCGATTCCCCAGAATATATATATATATATATATATATATATATATACATATATGTATATAGAAAATATGGGAAGTGGGGGGGAAGACAGAAACCCGGAAAATCCAGAGAGTATTCTTATTGGTGTGTATTTATTTGTGTGTCCTGGGGCCCCTTCAATCCTGTGCCGCCGGACGAAAAGGGGGGTGGCACCAAAAGGGAGGTTGGCGAACCAGCTGCACGCGTTCGGTATTGCTGCAGCCCCCTTGCGCCAGGTGCGCCGAAGTCCCCATCGCACAGAGTCCGAGCGAGGGCCGGTAACCTGGGATGCGAGCCACGCCCCGGGCGACCCGAAGAGGCGGATGCGGAGGACGAGGAGGAGGGGGCGTCGTCGGAAGCTGGGCAAGGGCTGCTAAATCCGTGGCTGCTAACATCGACCTCGGGGAAGTTGTCTCCGTCCTTCCGGGAATAAGCCCGCGTTGACTGTTTCGCGTGCCGCGCCTCCTTCCGGGAAGTTGTTTTTTCCTTCCGGGAGGGCCGTTTTAGCAGCCACGCTGCAGCAGACAATAGGCTCCGCCTCCTCCGCCTCCTCCGCCTCCTAGCTCCTCGCTCCTGCGCCCTCCTCCGCCACCGAAGTCGAAATCCCTCCCCCCCTTCCCCCGCCCCATCCTCCCCCCTCTTCCCTCCTCCCCCCTCTAAGCACATCCGAGGCCGTGACCCCTTCGTGGCACACGGTTGTAGCAGCCCTCGCCCAGCTTTCGAGGGAGGGGTGCGGCAGCAGTGAGGTTCTCTGGGGCGGCCGCGCACCTGCAGGCGAAGCACGGGGCGGGCGGGCCCTGACCTTCCAGAGAGCTATCTTTTAGCACGGGAGGCCTAAACACCGAAAAAAATAATAAACGAAACAACCTAAAACCAAGACGTAACATAGCTCTGGGATAGGTCTTTAAGCCGCGTGTTATGTTTAAGCCCTCCTGCAAGGTCCGGGGGGGCAGGGGGGAAGGCACCGGGAGGAGCGGAGCGCGCGCGGGCCACGCGAGGAGGCGGAGGCGCGCGGTCGGGGTCCGCCCGTCACCGAGCTCGCGTCGCGACCGTCGTCACTCGCTCACTCCTCCTCCTCCTCCTCCTCCTCCTCCTCCTCCTCCTGCTCCTCCTCCTCCTGGCGAGCACAAGTCGACAGCGCCAGTGATGTTCGCCCGAGCCCACCCTCCAGGTAGATCGTGCCAGCACGAGAGAAGATGCCATACCCAGAAGCTGGTACAGGATGAACATACCAAGGCTGAGACCCGTACGAGATGCCGCACAACCATTGAGCCACCCAGTGACAGGCCAGCCATCCTCGAGAGGAGCGGTGAACCGAGCATGAAGGAGCAGGTGCCACCCCGTGTGAACCACGAGGCTGCGCAGGACAAAGAACGGCGTAGGAGAAGAAGCCGACGTGCCACCGCAGCACGACACCGATCTTGGCTCCCCACGCGTGTAGCACTCGGCCAGCAGCACCTCGCTGCCGGTGCCGTGCCCGGTTGCCTTCTGCGCCCGTGGCCGCCGTCCGCCTCCCTGCTGCCCAGAGCATGTGGCCTTGGTGGCGGCACTGCAGAAAGCCAGCAGGCACCCAGCAGGCTCCTCCTCCTCCTCCTCCTCCTTCTCCTTCTCCGTCTCCTCCTCCTCCTCCTCCTCCTTCTTCGTCTCCTCCTCCTCCTCCTCCTCCTCCTCCTCCTCCTCCTCCTCCGTTCCTCCTCCTTTCCCTCCTCCTCCTCCCCTCCTCCTCCTCCTCCTCCTCCTCCTCCTCCTCCTCCTCCTCCTGAGACTGTTGCTCAAGTTGTTCGCGATCACGTCGAGGCTGAGCTTCCCGCCAGTGCAGCCGAGCTTCCGGACGGCCGCCACGGACTCGTCCGCGCACCGGTGGCACCAGGGAGGCCACATCGGAGGTTGAGGTCAGGGGGGGAAGGCGGCCCAAGGGCACCGCTAGAATAGTGGATTTTCTCGCCGCGCGCCACCGCTAGCGGCGTGCCCTCTTCCCACCCCGCGGCCCCACCACCACCCGAGGCGGCGAGGCCCCCGCCGCGCCCCGGAGAGGAGGCCCACGCGCGCGGGGCGGAGGCACGCTCATGAGCCCGGGCTGCGGCGGCTCTCGCCCCCATGAGAGCCGATCGGTTCTGATGAGGGCTTGAGCCAAATGGCTACGGCTCCTCCTGCTCCTCCTCCTCCTCCTCCTCCTCCTCCTCCTCCTCCTCCTCCTGCTCCTCCTGCTCCTGCTCCTGCTCCTGCTCCTCCTCCCTTTCCTCCTCCTCCTCCTCCTCCTCCTCCTCCTCTTCCTCCTCCTCCTCCTCTTCCTCCTCCTCCTCCTCTCGGGGGGTCGCCCCGTCCCCAGGAGCAGAGGGAGGCCACCGTGCTGGAGTGGACCTGCCAC